ATTTCTCTAAAACTCTACCACAAATTACCATTTATTATAAGTTTTTTAATAAATAAAAAAATATAATTAGACAAAGACATATTTAAAAAATAAAATAATTTCTTTAAAACTCTACTACAAATTACCTATTTTATTTTCAATAAAACTCTATCACATTATACAATGATATATTTAAAGAATTTCTATAAAAATCTAACACAAATGACCTAATTATCTATTTATTATGAGTTTTTTAAGAAAAAAATTGTAATTAGACAAGAATTATTAATATAAAAAAATATTTCTTTATTGATATAAAAAGAGTTTTTAAAAGAGTTTCAATCAAACTCTAATACAAATTACCTATTTATCTATTTATTATGAGTTTTTTAATAAAGAAAAATCTAATTAGACAAGAATTATTAATATAAAAAATATTTATTATTTGATATAAAAAATAAAATAATTTCTCTAAAACTCTATCACAAATTACCAATTATTATGATTTTTTTAATAGAAAAAAAATCTAATTAGATAAAGATATATTTAAATAAAATAAAATAGTTTATATAAATCTCAACCACAAATTACCTATTTTATTTTCAATAAAATTTTATCACATTAGACAAGGATATATTTTAAGAGATTCTATAAAACTCATAACACAAATTGCCTATTTATCTATTTATTATGAGTTTTTTAAAGTAAATAATGCAATTAGACAAGAATTATTAATTTTAAAAAATATTTAAATTACCATTTATTATGAGTTATTAATAAAAGAAAGTCTAATTAGAGAAGGATATATTTGAAGAAAATAAAATAATTTCTTTAAAACACTACCACAAATTATCTATTTTATTTTTAATAAAATTTTATCACATTATACAATGATATATTTAAAGAATTTCTATAAAACTCTAATACAAATTACCTATTTATCTATTTATTATGAGTTTTTTAGGAAAAAACAATGTAATTAGACAAGAATTATTGATACAAAAAAAAATTATTAATTGATATAAAAAGAGTTTTTAAAAGAGTTTCAATCAAATCTTAACACAAATTACCTATTTATCTATTTATTATGAGTTTTTTAATGAAGGATAATCTAATTAAACAAGAATTATTAATATAAAAAATATTTATTATTTGATATAAAAAGCAAAATAATTTCTCTAAAATTCTACCACAAATTACCAATTATTATGAGTTTTTTAATAGAAGAAAATCTAATTAGACAAAGATATATTTAAATAAAATAAAATAGTTTATATAAAGCTGAACCACAAATTACCTAATTTATTTTCAATAAAATTCTATCACATTAGATAATGATATATTTTAAGAATTTCTATAAAACTCTAACACAAATTACCTATTTATTTATTTTTTATGAGTTTTTTTAAGGAAAAAAATGTAATTAGACAAGAATTATTAATATAAAAAAATATTTATTAATTGATATAAAAATAGTTTTTAAAATAGTTTCTATAAAGCTCTAACACAAATTACCTATTTATCTATTTATTATGAGTTTTTAATAAAAGGAAATCTAATTAGATAAGAATTATCAATATATATATATATTTTTGATAAGTGATAAGAATTATCAATATAAAAAATATTTATTAATTTATATAAAAAAATTAAATAATTTTTCTAAAACTGTACCGCAAATTACCTTTTATTATGAGTTTTTTAATAAAAAGAAATCTAATTAGATAAGAATTATTAATATAAAAAATATTATTAATTGATTTAAAAAGAGTTTTTAAAAGAATTTCTATAAAACTCTAACACGTATGACCTATTTATTTATTTATTATGAGTTTTTTTCATGAAAGAAATTTATTTAGACAAGAATATATTTAAAGCAAGTAAAATAATTTCTATAAATTCAACACAAATTAGTTATTTTATTCTCTATAAAACTATATCAGATTAATTTATTTATTATGAGTTTTTTAAAAAAATAAAATCTAATTAGACCATAATATAAAATCAATCACAATAAAATATATATTAATTGATATAAAAAGAATATTTATTTTTTATGAATAATTATCACAATATAACTGACCCAACCCATTCAGTATTTTAGTTTTTATTTATTTATATAAAAAAATATTTAGTAATTGATATAAAAATAGTTTTTATAAAACACTAAAAATTACCTAATAAAATCAATCACAATAAAATATTTATTAATTGATATAAAAAGAATAGTTATTTTTTATCGATAATTATTACAATAGAACTCAGTTATGATTCTGTCATTATCAGGAGAGGACACATGTCATCATCCTATTAATCCAAGAAACTCTGCCAAAGAGTTTTCAGTACTTATTTATTTATTTATATATAAAATATTTATTAATTGATATAAAAAGAGTTTTTATCTATATTATTATTAAATGTGTGCAAAGAATTTAAGTGTTTCAGTATTTATTTAGTTATATAAAAAATATTTATTTATTGATATGAAAAGAGTTTATATATATATATATATATAATAAAAAAAAGTCTATAAAACTCTAAAATCTATCTAATAAAATTCAAATTAACCTATTTATCTATTTATTATTAAGAGTTTTTTAAAGGAAATCTAATTAGATAAGAATTATTAATATAAAAAATATTTAGTAATTGATATAAAAAATTAAATAATTTTTCTAGAATTCTACTACAAATTACCTTTAATTATGACTTTTTTTATAAAAGAAAATCTAATTAGACAAGAATTATTAATATAAAAATACTCTATAAAACTCTACCACAAATTAATTATTTTATTTTCTTTTAGTATTTTAGTATTTATTTATTAATATAAAAAATATTTATTAATTAATATAAAATGGATTAAAATAAAACAATTTCAAATCATTATTAAAACAACTAAAAAATAGGTAAAATAAATAATTATTTAATAAAATAATTTACCAAATAATAAAATAAGTTACAAAACATTTATCACTACCTGCCTTTTCCTAATATATATATATATATATATATATATATATATATATATGTACATGTACATGTACGTAAAGTGGATTTTGTAATGGAAGGGGTGGGGAAAAAGGAAGTGAAGGTGGCGGTGGAAGACGCCAACATACGGCAGATAAGCGGGGAGCGGACTGAGGAGCATGAGGATGTGAATGACAAGTGGCACCGCGTGGAGAGGCGGCGTGGTAGCTTTGTGAGGAGGTTCCACCTGCCGGAAAATGCAGCTTTAGACGCCATCAAGTGTGCGCTCGAGGATGGTGTGCTGACCGTGACTGTGCCCAAGAAGGAGGCGGGTGGACCTTCCAAAAATGTCAGATACATAGACGTGGCTTAGCTTTGTGTGTGTATGAGTTAGCTAGTGTGTGTGCAGTTGAGAATATGCTGGCTATATATGTTTATATATATATATATATAGTTATATATGTTTTTTTTTCTTTTTCTGGCTAGTAAATATATGTATAGATAGCAATGTAGTACTATTATCATATGAAAGACCAGCAGTAATAAATGTATTTATCTATATGTGTAAAAAGGGTGACGGGAAAGGTGGTTTGTTTTTTTTTTTACTGTATTTAATTATTATCCTAACTAATTATGAAAAATAATAATGCTTCTCAAATTTAATAGTCTAATTGGGGATTAGGATTCTCTGCTATAAACAGTCCTGTTGTACCTATATTGTAATGTAAATAATTTCGTTTAAGGGGTAGAGTAAGATTCATTTACAGCAAAGGATGAGAAATTCTATTTTTGAATGTACTAAAAAGGAACCAAATTTTGGATCTTATCCAATGCGAGACAGCTGTTCAAGAATGTTTAATTTTAGTCCGTCCTTGAGCGTAAGTGTACACGAACTATTGCTAACCGGTTGGACATCAACCACAACCTCTAAAATTAAACATTCTTGATAGAAGTTGTGGTTGATGTCCAACCGTTTAGCAATAGTTCGTGTACACTTATGCTCAAGGACGGACTAAAATTAAACATAAATTTAATAATATAATTTTTTAAACAATTTTTTTTATAACTAGATAAATATTTGAATTCAAAGGCTACAAAATATCTAAGTTGTGTTTCACGAATCTTTAAAGACTTGATAATTGAGGACAGAGGACTGAGTCATTTGCGAATTGCAATTCTTAGAGCTAGGAAAGAAAACTATATCATGTATTAGGGCATGTTTGGATTAGGCATTTATTTTAGTATTATGACTTAATTGACTTGACCTTGTTTGCGTGAGCTAATACTAATAATAATTTTTTTTTTTTTTTTTTTTTTGACCGGACTAAATTTATCTATAGTAATATACTAAATAAATAAATAAAAATTGGGGTGGGCTGGAGCCTAGCCCAGCCCTCCCTTGGATCTGCCATTGCTTATGCTCCAATTATAAAGATAAGAGGAGAATAAAAAACATGGAATCACTGATAGTAGAAGAGGAAACAAAAGAACATGGAATCACCTATAGTAGAAGAGGAAACAAAAGAATTGAGATAAGCATTAGAAATTTATTATTGGAAAGAAATAAAAATTTTAGAAAGATTATAATATACCATATAAAAAATATTTTTTTTGGACCCAGTATTAAATTTTAGGAAAGAAGGATTTTTTAAAATTGAGGTAAGTATAGAAATTTTTTGAAGCCATTATTAAAATTTTCTATTGGAAAGAAATAAAGATTTTAAAAAGATTATTATATATAAAAATAAAATATTTTGAGACATTTTTATTGGACTTAACAACCGCCTAACACGTCTACGCGCTCTGATTTCCTCACATCAGGCGACTTAAATAGATTTTTTTTGCGTAGAAGTTTGAAAAACCAAAAAGATAGAACTTTGAAAGCTACAGAAACTTTGACAAAGAAGCCAGCTATTACTAATTGTCGGTCAAAGAAACTTTTTCCACTTTTTATTTTTTCCATGCCATACAATATATATTTTTTTCGTGGATGGAATAGCCATTCAACTAAAGAAAGACAATATCAAATTAACATCATCCTTCATAGGAAAAATAAAAAATAATTAAAAAATATTTAGAGATCAATAAACACTAACATTAAAAGAGTCGGAGAAGTTATTCGAATCTCGAAAAATGGCTACTTAATTGACAACTTAATTTATTCAGAATATTGGAGAGTTTCTTCATAGAATGATAAAATTTCTCTCTTTTTTTCATTCTCTTATTCTTATTATCCTTTTTTTCTACAATGTTTTGTACACTAAAAAAAAAAAAAAACTAATTATTAAAACCTTGTGCTCATCATCTCCCTCGTGATAACTGAGTGCTGTACCAAACCTTCATCCTTCCTCTTACTTCTCCGGCGAAGCAACTTCGACCAAAACCCGCGTTTCTTCTTTCCGTCCACCGCCTCTCTTCCGATTCTCGGAACAAAAACCGTAGACCTACTCTTGCTGAGCACATCCTTGCCACTCTTCAAGAAAGAAATAGACCCTTTTGCCTCCGAGCGATGACGGTGACTCGCCGGAGATGTCCCGAAAGACGAGTAGCGGGAAGACGAAGACGACTTGGAAGAACAAGAAGAGGCCATGGATGAAGTGGTTGACAATTGACAGAGTTTCTCTCTCAGACAAACTGAACAAACACCTGGTGATTGATCGTGGTTCGTGTGCCTCTTGCACACGAACTTTGACCAGCCCATTGGGTGATTCTTTGGTGCCGTGTTTTCCATTCTTTTTTTGGTTGTTTGTAGTAACAATCTCTGCCTACATGTTGTATGTGTCTATATATATATAATTATAGAGAGAGAGAGAGGCGTGTGTATGATGTGTGTGACTCGTGTGAACACTTGCCCAAAATGGCTTTATTGACGGTTTGTGAGTTTGAAAAGTCGGTTGTGGGGCTGAGTCGGTCGCTGGGAATGGGGAATCATTGTGTGGATTGTGGAGTGCACGAAACTTTCCGTTGTGCGGTGTGGATATACTGGGTACCCACTTTAGGGTTTAGAGAAAGTAAAACAATGACAAAAGATGGTCGTAGACGTAATCTATCAATTACAATGGGCAGTCCTTGCCTTGTGAAAAACAAACCATGGAAATCACATATACATATATATATATATAATTCATCCACCATATGGACATCATATATATATAAAAATTAAACGGGTAATGATCTCTTGAAATTCATTCACCATATAACAATTATATATAAAGATTATTTTGTAACAACTAACTCCACCACACAGAGTCATATATCATTCTGTAACAACCCACTCTATCGGCACCACATGGTATGATATTTACATGCTTTGGTTTCAAACCCGTACAATTTTGTTCTTGAATTTTATCCCCAAATGCCTCATTCCAATTGAAATGTACAAATCCCACATATATCGCACTTACCCTTTCCACACACCGACAATGTGAGATTGTACACCTATAGCTCGCCTAGCCTGGTCGCCCACAACACACGAGTCTCCACCATACGGTATGATATTGTCTGCTTTGAGCTCAACCTCGCACGATTTTGCACTTTAAGTTTTACCCCAATTGAAACGTACAAATCCCCCCACAGACACACATAGCAATTTTCCTTTCCATAAGCGATGTGAAATTGTGCACCTTTAGTTCGCCTAGTGTAATAATCTGCTGATGTTTCTTGCGAGACACCCGCCCCCAGCACACCCACCCAAGAGATCGTCACTCACATATCCTTCCAAGGACTTAACCCTCAATATTCCAAAACTGAACTGTCGGGGTACCTTCTGTTAGTTCAATTATAATGTGAACTAAGAGTCTCACTTTAGTGCACGGGGGCACCTTTTGTTAGTTCAATTATAATGTGTACCCTAATAGATGACAACTGCAAATCACAAAAACACCCTTCTATTATTTGAATAATAAAATAATAAAAAAAAAAAAAAAAAAAAAACAACTCAAGTCCAATTATGTTAGATGAGGATAATAAGTTCGTCACGCCATCATGTTTAACTCAAGTTTATCCATCTTCCATTTTGGTCAATCATACTAACAAGTTTAACAATGAGTAGGGACACGCATGAACTGGCCTCACCCAACTTTCCAACCCAAACCAAGGAAACAAGAAGGAACTTCAGAATAACAGTTTTTGACATTAAAAGATAGGTCGGATACTTCTCACTGGGTGGATTTTTTAGCAGAACCATCATCCTCGGTAGTATTCATATCTCTTGGGCACTGTGATACATATGGTTTCAGCTGCAAGAAGGAAATACCAAGTGAATTAGGGCATGTATGAAATACTTATACAGCACACAAGTTCTGACAGTTTTAAAGCTCGGACTCGAGCTCAGAATCAGCTGGCTAAACATGACCAGCTGTTGTTACGTGTCTCGCAGCAGTATGTAATTTTTGCAGCTGCCCGAAGAAAAATATTGTAATTCTTCAAAATTGTGCAGTTCCTTGAATTATCTAGTGTGTAGATTCATGATAGATTCTAACTCGAAGATGGATCACAAGTAGGTCACCACTTACAGAATACACCCAAGTTTTTTTAGCAGGCAAGAGACACCAACATAGGTATGCAATGGAGACTTTTAACCCTCAACCACCAACATGCAAACACTCGTTAAAATTTTCAGGAAAATATTTTGAGGGAAAAAGTAAGGAAAATTAAAAATAAATGAAAAAATAACCTTTTCTTTCTACAGCAAGGCATAAGAATCGAAGCTTTTCCTAACATGTTTTGGCTTCAAGTTAGAGAGTTCCACAATCGCCTAATCATTCTCAGCTAATAACGTCCAACGAATTTTCAAATAAAAAAGTAATCTACTTGGCCAATACATGCATATTCCCACGTGCTCCATTAAAAGCTGCCATTTCAAGATGGAATTATATATACCTTGAAGTCAGTCAAATCCGGGACTACATAGTTCGGCAATTTTTCTTGCACCACGACATAACCACCTGCAATTGTTAAAGTACTTTGTAAAACAACAAAGTTATGTAAGCACTCAAAACTTGTTATCGAAAAAATCATCTTTGGGAGAACATAGAAAAGAACTTGGGAGAACATGAAATGAACCTGTTTTGCATATGAAAAGTGGAAGTTAACATGGTAGAATCAAATATGTGGGAGAAAATAAATTATAATTTGTGAACATGGCAATTCAAGTAAATAAAACTTTCTACTTGCTTGTAACCCAACTTGTATAGTACGAGAGTTTCTCTGAATCAGGTTAGAGAGATTCATGTCCCACAAATGTTGGTGCTCAGAAAATGTGACGACTTTGTTGTCCTTAAGTAAACAATCTTACAATTGATGTTATCAAACTGTACCTAGCTAGGCCGTTCGAACTACTCAATCGGCAACTTAGACAATTTTTTATTTATTTATAAACAAGTAAGACAATTGTATAGAAGCGCTCAAAAGGGGAGCCAAGCCAAGAAAACTACACAAGGTCAAAAGGGACCTCTAAATTTTCAAAGAGTCCAAAATTTCAATAATCTCCTCTAAAGATGTATAATTTCTCCCTACAACCCAACAAAAAAGAGCGGCGATAATAGAGAACTTAAGCATAGAAATAGGATTATCCTTTCCTTCTAAAGATCTCCTATTCCTCTCGAGCCAAATACACCACCAGACACACAAAAGCGTAACCCTCCAACCATCCTGGACTTGGATCCCCAATGTACAACCTCTCCAAGCCTCAATTAACCTAGAGGATCTGGGCATGACCCACTGAACCCAAACAAACCAAACATCAAATCCCAACAGTCCCTAGCCATGGTGCAGTGCAAAAAGAGGTGATCCACCATCTCCTTAGCACGAAGGCACATGCAACAACAGTTAATCACCACCTGATTCCTTCTCCTAAAATTATCCGTGTCAAACTCTTCCCTAAAACAGACGTCCAAGCAAAAAAAGGCCACCTTCAGGGGGGCCTTGGAGCGCCAAACAGCCTTCCACGGGAAAAGAGCCCCTGGCACCTTCGTAAGACACCTATAGAAGGATCGAACATCAAAACAACCCTGAGAAGCAGGGACCCACACCCAACTATCAGAATCTCCACCAGTGATCTCCTGGCGATACAACAATTCCAAAAAACCAATGGCGTCCCCAATCTTCTAGAAACAAAAGTCAACACTCCCTTCTCTACCCCCGAAAACCGCCTCAACACCCCATAAGGAGTAGAAGAAGAACAAGGATCAGGAAGAGAGAGCCTATACATAAAGATGGACTTACCTGGATCAGAAACAAATTGCTTACTCAACACCCATTTCTGTTTTTCCTTACGTGACCATCGTCTTCTAACCAGGGGCGGAGCGAGCATGTGCCCAAGGGGGGCACATGCCCTTCTTGATATTTTTGTTTTCCCTACTATTATATGCAAATTTGTTTCGAAAGTTCAAAAATGCCCACCCTCAAAAATAATAAAATTAATGAAAAAGAAAAGTTAGAGTGAAGACATGCTATAATTTGCAAGGCCTAAAGAGGAAGACAATGTTTAGTAGTGTGTTATGTGTAGGGAGCCTAAAGTGGAAGACAATGATTAGTGGTGTGTTTGAGTGGTGATGAAAGGAATAGTGATGTAAACTTTGTAGTTGGTATGTGTGCCGGTCAAATTCTGAACAAAAATAGTGAGGTCCTTGTATAGAATCTTCATGCTCTATCTGCCCCTGTCCTTACTCCATTTTTCAATTTCATTTTCTGCAATTTCTCTTTATATAGTTCAACATCAAAATTAGAATTGGAAGGAGAGAATTGAAAGATAGAGAAAGAAATCAAAATTAATTTTCTATTTTGCTGTCAATCTATAATCGACTCACCCCTCAATTTCTAGGTTTTTTTTTTTTTTTTCCCCTGAATTTGCAGGTAAAACAAACATCATTTTTGTATAGAATATGAAAACCTTAGTTTTGTTTTGCTCACATGAATCTATCATCTGTTTTAGTACCTACAATTTAGTTCTGTGCTGTTCACAACTTCACGTGAATCTATCACATGAATTAGATCAAGAATATTATAACGCTCCTTGAAAATTTTGTGATTTTGCTATGAATTTTTGTTTTTATTGTTTACCCTTTGATGTGAAAAAAATTATTTGTTAGTTGATTTTTTTTTCCTTCTTCTGTCAAATACAATATGCCCCCCAAAGATACAATCCTGGCTCCGCCCCTGCTTCTAACTGCAGGTAGATGAATCTTTTTGGCTCTCAAGCGTTGACCCTGTGAAGGAAGTGTTATGACAAACGCAACGAACCCAAAATAAAACCAAGAATCACAACAGAAAAGTAAACACACCAAACAAAGAATACAAAGATTTATACGTGGTTCGGTAACAGCTTACATCCACGGTTGGGATCTGGTGAAAGTTTTCACTATGTGTAAAATTAAAGATTACAAGTTTCAACCCTTCACTCTATTTCTATACGAATTTCAGAGTCTCTCTATCTCCCCCACTCCAAACCCTAAGCACCCTTATATATCGGGTTACAAGAGACTAATTAGGGTTTACGGCACACAAAGCTCATCCAACGGGTCGTCGAGTCGCAATGCGACCCAGCACCAAATTCGGGCCACAACATCACAGGAAGCCTTGCATGCTGACCAACTCTGTGAACTAAAATGGGCGTAAAAGCAGACTGAGATGAAAAAAACATCACATGGGTTGCCCAATGGCCCAAAATGATTACACAAAGCAGCCCCAGAGACACAACCCAAAGAGTGATCCAAAGGCTTAATAATCAACAAAGGGATTCTAGAGGGCTCAATAAGACAAGAGAACGTGAGGCAGTGCTCCCGACTTGGTCCACAAGGCGACGGGAGAGCAGGCTTAGAACCCAGCCCAGAAGAAGCACTACCAACCTGAAGACCAGCCCGATCCCCCTGAGCATGAGTGGGCTACATCAACACTAATCGGCCCATAAGAAAATGGGCCAATATTACTTTCAACAACAGGCCTGAGACCAGCCCAAAACCACAACCCATACTTGAAGACTGAGGAGCAGCACGTGCCAGCGGATTTGAAATAAAATGGGGGACAGCTGTATCCCATTGTGAACGGGCAGCACCTCTACGCCAAACACGTGTCTGGCAACCTCTTCTCCCCCACTCATGCGTCAATGTGGAAGCCACCTTCGTGTCTTCTCCGATCCCACCACTGCACAGACGACTGAGAGCAGCCACCACTTAGACCTCCAACCCTTTGATTCTCTCGGAGACCTTTATGCCGGCAAAGATCTGACGAAGAAGAAACATCCATCCTTCTCTGAGTGAACAACCGTCTGAAGCATGCCGTATTTTAGATCCACAGTGAATCCCTCCTCTCCTTCCACATATGAAATTCAATCATCCCCTTAGGGCCCTTAGAAATCATTCTTTGCCATTTTCCTCCCTTAGCAAGTGAGATCCATCACCACCTTCCAAACTGTCCGTTGTCGGAACAAGCTTGGGATCAGTCTCTTCCCACACAGCCACCTTATAGCAGAATTGGTCATCATATATGAAAATCACCGGAGGACATGCGCGACCGTCACAAACAGTGATGTGAACCCTTTCTGCATCAATGGATTCATTTGTATCCACCCAAATATAGCCACCACAAGGATCCCCGACCATCACAAAAAGGGCTTGACACCAGAGGTGAAGAGGGAGCCCATACAACGTCACTTTCTTCAGCCCTCTCTCTTTCAAGACCTCAAAACACCCCACCCTAAAACTCCACGAATACACTCGTAGAGTGGCCTTGCCCCAATCAAGGTGTGGCTCCTTTAGCACTCGATCTGCCTCTGCCGGAGAAGGGAGGTGAAAAAGGAACAAAGAATCCGGTATTGGCAAAACCACCACTTCGAAGGAAACCTTCCATCCTCGAGACGCCCAAATTGCAATTTGAGCCCGATCTCCAACTTCCTTATCAAATCTACCCACCAGGCAAGATCGAAGGTCCTCCTTTCTTCTCCCAACCAAGTCATCATCCACAAAAATCAAAGGGCCTCTGTAAGTATTTGCAGAATTAACAGTACCGCCCTGAAACAGACGAGGTAAACATGCAACCTAACATATAAGAGGGGGAGAAAAAGAGAAGAAGAGAAGAGAGGGACCGGAGTGGATGACTCGGTGACATAGAGGAGGGAGAGAGAGAAGGGAAAGCATATATGAATGTCTAAAAAAAAAGACTAAGCAGGTAGAGCTTGGAATCGTCTAGGGAATGAATCTGCCTCGGTCCGCTTGACCCAAGCAACTTTTGAGAACCAATTTTGACCCCACTAGTAAACATGAATCAAACTTGTATATATAGCAAACAAGCCCAAGGCTGAGACAAATTTTAAGGCTCGTTTCATTGATGACCTGAGCCTAAATAAGACCAGCCTAGACTCATCCAATCTCTAGATAACGTATTGTATTGGTACTTTGAGTTCAAGCCCTTCAACCCCATTTGTTGTCCTAGTAGGACGAGTTATGCATCGGTTTGAAGCCCATATATTTTTGCCTCAGTTATAAGTAAGCTAAAAAAACACATTCAGCATGAGGTTCTATGTATATGCTTTTTGCAGATGATTTGTTTCAACTTTAAAACAAGAGCATGGATAAGTACTAAATTAGAAATCTCAATAGAATCTTCAGATAAATAGAATTTAAAATTAGTAGAACCAAAATTAAAATTGTTGCCTAAACTAGAATACACACAGAGGAAGAGATTAGAAACAATGTCAAGAATAGGATTAAAGCAAGATGAGTTGAATAGTGCTTCTGTCATATTGTGTGATCAGTGTACACCTCTAAAATTCAAATGTAAATTCTATACACAATTATTAGACCAACCCTACTTTAAGAGGTAGAATGTTGGACTTTTAAGAAACAAAATATTCATGAAAATTAGTGTAGCAAACATGTGAACATTGAGATGGATGACAACACCAGAAATGATAAAATATCAGTACTTTCATGAGATGGTTACGTGGCTC